TCCCTTTTCCTCTCCCATGGATGCTTTTTCTGTTCTTAATTTTGGTAGATCCCCTTGGGGTTTTAAGTCCATAGGATCCCCTTTCGGGAAATTGATTTCTGCCATCCTCCAATTCACCCAGGGGTTCCATTTCTTTAACCATTCCATCCCTAGGATCATTGGGCATTCCATGCCTGGGGTCACTACAAACGTTATGTCTTCCTCATGTTTGCCCAGGGAGAGGTGGATTGGTAAAGTGGCTAGGGTAGCTGGCACCCCCCCTGCTATGGACCCATCTAACTGGCCAAATGAGATTGGTTGTTCCAGTCTCCTCGACGGAATGCCCAGGTTTCCCACTAGCATCGGGCTAATGAGGCAGCGGGTGCAGCCAGAGTCTATTAAGGCTTTCACCTTGACAGCTTCAGGCATGGGGGGAATTAATATAGTCACTGTCTTGAGGATGGGTGTGATGGGTCCACTTACCATGTAGCTGAGGACTTGGGTTAGGAAAAACCCCAAGTGTGTCAGCTCCCCCTTGAATCTCACGTCCAGCGGCGGGAGTCTTTGAATGGATCGATGCCTTCGTTGTTGGTGGTATTGTCTTCCATCCAGATCGCCATCTGCGGGTTGGCAGGAAGTGGGGACTACTGGATCAGCGGACGTCCCCGGGGCTGCAGGTTCCACTTCCCCCTCTGTGTCTCTCCAGTTGCGGCTCCAGGAGCTGGTGCGGCCGTATGGCTCAGAATTCTCTCCTAGGGAGCTGAGGGTTCTCTTCATGCTAGACAGGATCTGGGGAATTCTTTCCCATCCTTCAATGTTTTAAGTGTTCCCAAACAGCCCTCACCCCACAGTTCTTCCGGGTGACAATCACTCATCCTCTCTTTTCCCAGATCCCAGGCGTTTCCCCCCCCCTTTTCCCTCACTGCCGGCAAAAGGGAGACTTCAGAGAGAGTAGATGAAAGGCGATGGCCATATTGTTATGGTCAGTCCTCTTGATGAGAATCAACATCCAGTCACTTTATAGTTTAATGAAGGAAGTGAGAGTCATAAAGCCCCCTTGCTTATCCTCCTCCCCTTTCGTAGTATGACAGAATCCAGAGAAAGAAATGGGTTTTTTCTAGAGTAGGTAGCTAGAAATGAAATATAATTGGATTCTGACAGTGCCCCTCTTTCCATTTTTTGTATTTGTCCTTTTTGTCTTTTAGTTTGTTAGTGAGTTCTTTATGCAGCCATGCTGGTTTCTTCTTGGATTTCTTGTTTTTCTTTCTCATTGTTATTGTGCTGGTCTGGGCTTTTGTGATCACATTTTTCAGGGTTTCCCACGCTTCCTGGGTTGTTTTCCCCTTTAGGATTTTCATCCATGGGATTTTTCCTAGGTTCTCTCTTAGTTTAAGTCAGCTCTTTTGAAGTTCGGGACCTTGGTTGGATTGTTTTCTATTGCTGGTATTTGCATTATGTTAAATTCTAGTATGACGTGCTCATTTTTGCCCAGGGTTCCGGTAATTTCGATTCCCTCTATCACTTCTTGTTTGTAAGGATTAAGTCCAGTATAGCTTTACGTCTAGTTCCCTTCTCCACCTTTTAAGTGACAAAGTTGTCGGCTAGGTTGGTTAGGAATGTTTTATCTGCAGCTCACTGCAGAGTTTGTCTCCCAGTTGATATCTGGGTAGTTGAAGTCTCCCATTACTATTGTGGTGTGCTTCCTGCATGCATTTGTTAGTTGGTTGGAAAAGAGTTCGTCTATTTCATCTGGTTGGGTGGGTGGTCTTTAATAAACACCTATGGCAATATCACTTTTGTTTTCTTTTATATTGATCTGGGGACTTTCCACCTGTAGGACCTGGAGAACTATTTCTGGAAGGTTTTCTATTTTAGTAATCAGAAAATTGGGTTTTTATAATTTTTAAGGATTTTTAATCCCCAGGCTGGGCATTGGAGAAATTGAAAATATTTTACATGATGTATCAGTAAAGTTGGGATTTTTTTTTTTACTAACACCTTAGATTTAAAACTCTGCAGGATGAAAACAATTTACCTACCAAAAGACTATTGCACAAGCAAACAGAAAACTCTTGGATTTATTAACCATAGCCAAAGATAAAATGTGTATCTTAATTGCAGCATCAATGTTGTTTCCATGCTTATAAAGGTGGGAAAACTGAACAAAATGCCCACTTTTTAAAAAATGTAATGCTTTTTCACGTAACCTCTAACACCACCAAAGCTATGTTTTTTAGTTTTTTATTGTTAAAATCAATTTTAATTTTAATCATTATTGGATTTGCCTGGGAGAAATATTTCATAAGTTGCTCTGATTTTCCAAGAAAGTTTTTTTGGTTTTATATAACCTTCAAATGAAAAAATTAAAGTCTAAGTTCCAATACAATTAAAAACTAGCACAATATAAAAATAATTTTTACATTGCAACAAATTCCTAAAGCAATTAATAGCTAACCATTAATAAACACCTATGGCAATAATAGTATGGGGAAGGAACCATATTAGGTAATAAAAGAGAATTAAAACTATTTAAAATCACTATAGAACTTTCAATAATAATACAATTATTTTAAACTCAGAAAGGGAAATTGCAGGAAAAAATGTTAAGGGTTCAATTTTAGATCCTAATTCCTGTTTTTGTTTTTAAATAAACTGCACTGCAAATTCAGCTGCAAGCTATAAGATGCCTGGAATCCTCATGCCAAGAGTAATAAGGTGCTAAGAAGATAAGTATTAACTGCAAAAGTGCAAGCTAGCTGCAGAGGATTAAAAAAAATAAGAATCTGGGAGCTGTTAACACTAGCCCTGGGAATTCAAGGTTTTTAGGTATCAGTTTAGCTACAGAATCGTAGGGATGTTGTTTAAAGTTAAGGATTTATGCAATCATTAAATGAAACATTCTCTTCAACATATATTTTAATATGCATGTGAATTAGCCCAATCAGTAAGGTTAGCCTTATCAATCACATTGGCTGTAAGAGCTTATTGCTTAAAGTAGTTCAATCATTTATAACTTTATACCAGATTTTCAGTTCAATGAAAAATAATACATAGGCTGTAGACATACTCTTAAAGACATATAAAATTTAAAATGTATTTTCCTACTAGTGCTTCCTGCTATTGTACTTTATAAATTTAATTGTGATCAAATCCAATATAACTGACATGAGAATTACAAATCAAGCAACTATATTTCATGTTCTTTATGTGAGTTTACATTCAATGTTTTGCACACCCTGAAAGCTAAGTTGAAGAAGTCAAGCACTGTCAAAACACAGCTAGACATTAAATCTGAATTTTATGTTAAAGCTGAATTAATTCAGCTGTTGGGAGGAGAGATAAAAACAAAAGAGAAATTTGAAAGAAAACAGATTAAAGAACAGCACAGAGCAATATATAGAAGAAAGATACAAAACAGTGAAAAACTGAGGATAAAGATACTCTGGTTCTAATTATGTCCTTCAGCTATCCAATAAATACATCTCTAATTCTGTCATTTGCATAAGCCATCCCAAAATAATCTTTATATGTTATTGCAGAGCAAACATTCATGAGTTAGGTTATATAAAAATTTATTTTTTGGATGGTTTTGAACTTACTAAAAAGCAGGACTTTTAACAACCAACTATAGTTAAAAAGAAATGAAAAAGAACAGGTGTTTTCTATCCTAGCTGATTAATTACTACCCAGGATTAAAGTGTATAGGAAAACATATGGTAAGGATTTAAACAAGAGGACAGATGTATCACGAACTTAGCACATAAAACTCTAGAATTTAGGGAGTAGGCAGAATAATTCCTCTATTTGAATGGTGATCCAGCGCAACAGGGAAGGACTGATGGCTTTATAATTATGTAAATGTATGATATGCAGTGCTATTTGTCCTTCAACTACAGCCATTATTTAAAAGATAAGTCTAATGTATTTTTTCAACGTACTTGGCAATTCAGCTATTTTCCTCTATAAAATAGCAACGATTTGCATGTCACATTTCTAGAAAAAAAATTAACCACACCATAAGTCAAGTATTCTAGACATGTGGTTTATAAGGTTTATATCCCACCTTTCATTCAGGAATGGATTTTATTGCTTCCCCCCACCCCCTGTAACTGCCGTGCCAGGTGTACTTAAAAGGCTGAGAAAGAATAGCCCCAAAGTCACCCAGGTCTAGTTTCCAAAGCACATGGTGGATTGGAACCTTTGGGTTCCAGGTTCTCCAGGGCCAAGTGAAGGCCACACAGCATGGACTTTGCAGTATTCTTGTACTTGATAAATAGGTCAATACTTCAGCCACCAGCTTTCAGCGTTCAGAAAAATCCGTGTACTTGAATAAAATGCAGCGTAATACTGTACTGGTATTAAAAGAGGCAGTTGGGCCTCTTTTAACCCGCATCTCGGTTGCAAGTACGTTTTACATGTGGGGAAGCGAGCGCTTTTTAGATTCAAAGTGTGCCTCCCCGAAAAAAAAATTATTTGGGAAATCTACCTTCTTTAAAACGGACCTCGCTGAAAAGCTTTTTGTATTTGTATTCTTTTTAGGGTTTTACAGAGCCACGTGCGCGTTTCTTTGCCACCTTCTCGCACCCAGCGCGACACAAGGAGACCAAATGGCGAGCGAGGCGGGACCAACTCCAGCAGAACCGTTTGACTTTGCCGTTGCCCCCCGTTCAAACCATACCGGGAGGGGGAAAGGGCGGGGGAAGCAGCGCGGAGGGAAGAGGGAAGTCTCGGCAATGACCAATGGAACCCTCACCCCGCAATGCGGTCCACGCACTCACGCGTTCTCGCCTTCGATTTTAGGCCTATATAGACTCGCATTGGAACTCAAGCGGTCGGCGCCTGCGCGCCTTTTTTTCCCAGCAAGCCGAATTCCAGGAGAAGGGAATGGTATGCGCATGCGTCCTTCTTGCCTTTCCTCCCCTCCCGTCCTGAGCGGCGCTCGTGTGTGGAGGGAGATTCCTCCCCTCCCTCCCTCAGATAAGCGGCTCCCGGTGCTGAATGAGGAAAGTCGGGAGCCGGAGGGCGATTCACTCAGTCTCTGCTGCCTTTTGCCACCGCTTCTCCGGCGTCTGCTCGCCGTTCCTTCCTCAGCAGGTGAGCGAAGGAGCCGCGGGCAAGAGGTGGGCTTCGGAGCTTTGGCGGGTGGTCGAGAGTCTCCTTTTGCCGGCTTGGTGAGCGCCTCCGTAAGGCCCTTGGCGCTGGCCAGGCTCCCGAGGAAGGCTTAGGCGCCGCTCGATGCTATTCGCGCTTCTCTTTATTCCCCGCCCGCCCCGGGCTTTATAGTTCTCCACCCGGCATGTTTCGGCTCGCCTCCTGGGCTAGGCGGGGGTGGGTGGGAAAGGGGGCGCTTCTCTCAGCCGCCCCCAACGCCGTGCCTGTCAACACAGACGCGGCTCCTCCATTTAACAAACCTTCGCCCAAGAAGTGCCTGCTTTCATACCGTTGGGGGGGGGGAAATCTTCCAAAACTCTTTTAGGGCCGTTGAGTTTCTAGGCTTGACATGGATGAACTCTGTTGAGTTGCAAAAGATGCCTGCCACCTCAGATCCCGACCGCAACGGAAAACCTTTATTTTACCCGTAGGCATGCAACAAGCCTTTTTGTTGCATAGATTAACAACAGATGCTTATAGTTTTAAAAAGCCAGATGTTTCTCTGATATACTTTCACTTAAGGTCCATTCCTAATTTGTGCTGTCTTGTTTGTGACACACCTGTTTCTGTCTCTTGCACCTTTGACTTTTTGGGACATATTTTATGTTTAAAGCTTCGTGATTTTCTCAGACCCAGGCTGTTCTTAGAGACACCACATACTTCACCGGGTTTTTTTCCTCCTTGTTTTGCTGCTACTGCTACTTCTAGACCTGCCTCATTAGATGCTCAGTTTTACTGCAGAAGTGGAGTGTTCTGCTATTTATATGTAAAAAATGTAAATATATTCATTGATATGTTTAGACTCCTTTACACAGTCTTGATGGGTTAACAAAGGATCCTGGTTTTGTAAGCTTGAGATAACTTGCAGCCTTCTAATTAGTTTGGGTCCTACATCACCTTGTATTTCAGGTGGTTCTGATGTTTTTATTTTTCACCCTCTAATTCCATCATACTATAAGCCAAAATTTCTGTTAGAAAACCCATTTGAAAACCCAGTCTCTAATTTTATTTAAGCTCTAATCTTCCAATCACAGGTTGGTTTTGTCCCACACACTAGTGCATACTTAACTTGAATTGGGCATTATTGAGTTACTCTAATTTCATAGGTATACACAACTTACTATCCCATAAACCCTTGTTGCCTTAATATAATAAACAGAACAAACTAACCCCAATTTATCCTAATTCAAGAGTATACAATTTTTCTTGGTTCAAATAGCACATTAAATGCTTCATGACTTATTGAGAGTTGCACTTCCAAAGTGAGAAGGGACATTTTTAAAAATGTGCTGTATATAATTGTTTTGTTTTCAGTACATAAATATTGTTAGACCCCTTTTACAGAGTAAAAAAATAAAATGCCGTAGTTTGTTTGGCCTCCAGTAGTTGGTGTCATGGGACCTAGATCTTAGATTGAAGAAGAAGGAGAAAGATTGGAAAAAAGGGGAGAACAATGCTGTAATATTAGGAGAAAATATGTGGAAAGGCTAAAACAAGAGAAGGGAGAGAGGTAAAGCAATTTGAATCTGTAGCAAGAAGAAACCCAGAAAGGATAGGAAGGAGAGAAAGTAGCATTTTGATGTAATGAAAAAGTAGGAATCAACTGAAAAATCAGAGGGGAAATATGGAAAGTCGGGAAGAGGAAGACATACACAGAGATACAAGATTGGAAGATTCCACAACAGAAATCAAAGTACTAGGTAGTCAGTGAAAGAATTAGAGCTGCAGATGGGAGGGAAAAATAGGATTCTAGAAGGAAAATGCTCTGAAAACCAAAGAAAAAGTAAAGCAGTAGGGCAGGCAGAGGAGAGGTATATACTTAGAAGTAGGTTTTTGGTGAAACACGGAGGTGTGTTGCAGGCTGGATATAGCTAGAGACCTATCCTTGGCCTAGTATGCTATGTGAACCCAGTTACGGAGTAACTATTGAGGTTTATTAATACCATTATTGTAAAATATTTATTGTGCTACTAAGTGGTTAATGTTATTAAAATAATGTTTAGGCAAAATCATCAGTTTTATGGTTTTTTTATATTTTTAACCAAGTCATGGAAACTGCCAGTACTTCTATCTAAGTGCTTCTTTTGCCTTTTAAATGAGAGCCAAACATTTTCCCACTCTGAAGACATAGTGTAAGTGTGGGTAAACTGATGTTTTAAAGTCAATTATAATTATCTTAGCAGATGGAAGAAGTAGACTGCCAGAGAATATTATGGCAAGATTGGGAAGTCAAAAAACATTGTGGAAGAAGGTAGTGCCAGGCACCTTTTATCTTGTTGTTAAAAAAAATCTGCATAGTCCATAACATTACTAGGAATTGTGATTTATCTTTTTTAACAATCTTAATCATCCTAAAGAATTATATAAAACAAGAATATTTAGTCTGTCTAGATTCCTTTAGTGTAATTTTTGAGTTGCTTTTTATTAAGTATAATTCCAGGGCACTGTATATAGTAATTTGTATATAGGGTTGTTGCGGAAAAAATAAGACCAAAGATTATTAGGTATGTTTGCTGTCTTGAATTATTTAGAAAAATAATAAAGGCAAGAAATAAAACATTAGAAAAATTAAAACATTCCCCTGATCTTGGTTTATTCCAGTGTGCAGGAAGGAATCCTAAGAAAAATTGCCACAATTTTCCTTGAAGGGGGTAAAGTGAATCTGTTAATTCCTGCAGTTTGCTGAATAAATCAGCTAGGTGTCAAATGCCTGCAAAATCAAGCGATTTAGGGAGTTCAAATGAGTATAAAGATTTATTGTAAGCTTAAGTTCTCTATAAGTATCTGGCCAACTAATGGTCAAGGGAAATAAACAGGAGATAAAAGAGACATAAAGGAGGTGGGTGGACTTGTGGGTGCGCAGAGATTCGTTACTAATGAAGCATTTGACCCCCTCCCTGAGGCTCAGGCTGGCGATCTCCTACAGTGGAATTTGGGAAGGAAGGCTTTGACATATTTGATGTTAGAGGTCAGAGAGCACCAAGGGGACATCACTTCAACCCTGAGCTACAAATATTCTCCTTTATTGATATTTGATGTCAGTTGCCCTGAACTGATGTAATGGTATTTGTCCACAAATTATTCTCTTGCAATAAAATATCAGCATTTTATTACCAAAGGGAAATAATGCTCCAGCCTTAAAGAAACGATTTATATACCAGTGCCATTTTATATTCATTCCATTCCATGATTGGCCTGTAAAGTTCTTTATACTACCCTGAGCTTGATTCTTTGCTTAGATGATATTATCACTGGATAATAAAAACATCTACAAGCAAGCAACCAAGCTTAGAGAACACCAAGAATTTCACATTTATATTATATTAATGCACAATAATGGTGAGCTCTCCTCCACTATGTGGATTATCAGTTTTTTTCTTTAATTTGTATTCCTTCATTGAACAGTTGTACTTAGTGGGTAAATAACACCTGACCTTTCTAGACATTTTGAATTATATTTTGAATTATATTTTTTATAAATTCCACTGAAACTAGTCAACAATAAGGGATTATAAGAATTCTAAATTACTTATGTCAAGGTTCCAACTGACGAACCCAACCAAGCAAACACCTTCGAGATATTCTGATCTCTTAAGGTAAAATTGTATGAAGCAATACCAGCTCTAGCAAACCCCAGATCAAGCCCCTATAGTGAAAGTATAGAATCCCCCCTCCCATCTATGAACAGGTCACATTGCCAAATTATATTGTTATGAGAAAATGTCTCTGAGTCGGTTCAGGCACCTGGTGAATTGTCCTTGATTCTCACGGTCTGACTTCTTTATCTTTGCAGCCTGCATTCCATTTTCCCATCCTCCCCCCAAGTTCGTTGGCAAGTTAAGAAGCAATAATTGTTGCACCAGCAAAGCGAGCTTCAAACTTGACAGGTGGACCCTACTAAAAACTGGAAGGAACCTGGAAAACAATAAACACATATTAAGGCATTTCTTCTTTCTCAGTTGCTTGCTTAAGGGGCCCTGGCTTTTGAGGATATTTTGCATGGAATCTACTTATTAAGCATTCTGCTCTAATGTTATGAGGTTTGGTCCAAATCATTTTCTCTATTGAATAACCTCTGTACTAGATACCTCTGTACTAGATACTGTAGTTTCCCCTTATGGACTCTAGAGTCTAAGATTTGCTTAACCTCGTAATGTTTTTCCCCCTCCACCATTATTGGACCAGGTGCTTCTTTCCCAACTGGCCTCAGTTTCGATCCCTGAGCCTGCTTCAGCAGGCTGCAATGAAATACTGGGTGCACTTTACCCAGTATTCTGGGCAGTTTCAGTTCTACAATAACTGGGTTAATAATTTTTATGATTGGAAAGTACATATGTAGTTAAGACCTCGTTTCTTTCAGAGAATCCTCAACTTTAGGTATTTGGTGGATAGATACATTTTATCTCGTACATGGAAGGTTTTCTGGGCAGCTTGCTTCTTTTCTGCTTGTTTCTTTTAACTCTCTGTTCTTTTAACTCCCAGGTGCTTTTAATGGAGTCTACCCAATCAGTTGATAATCACTGATGAGGGTCTCTCGGCATTCTGGTATTGGCGCAAACTCCACTCATGTAACTGTCTTAAAGTGGGTAAGCCCCATGCTACTGTGTACCACATTATTGTATGCCACTTAAAACAAATGGCAGGAGCTCTGCCCAATTATATAGTTGACATAACACCTGCAGGTACTGTTCCACCATTGGTTCATTCTGTAGCCCCATTAGTACTCGGATGAAAAGCTGAACTAAAACCTTGGGAGGATCCTATTAGCTTTACAAATTCACACCAATATTTGGCAGTAAATTGCATCCCTCGGTCCAAGATTATGAGTTTGGGCACTCCATGTAGCCAGTAAATATGTTGCAAGAATATCTTGGCCAGTCTCTGATGGGAGGCTGGAACATGCAGTGAAGTGGGCCTGCTTTGAGAACACGTCCACCACTGTC